AAAAAATCCCCAAAAATTCCTCCATGAAACCCCAAAAAACCTGCCAGAAATCCCCCCAAAAAAATCCTCCAAAAAAACCCCAAAAAACCCAAAAAATCCCCAAAAAATCCTCCCTGAAACCCCAGAAAACCTGCCAGAAATCCCCCCCAAAAAAATCCTCCAAAAAAACCCCAAAAAACCCAAAAAATCCCCAAAAATTCCTCCATGAAACCCCAAAAAACCTGCCAGAAATCACAAAAAAAATACTCTGAAAACACCCCAAAAAACCCAAAACACCCCAAAAAAATCCTCCCTGAAACTCCAAAAAACCTGCCAGAAATCCCCCCCAAAAAATCCTCCAAAAAAACCCCAAAAAACCCAAAAAAATCCCCAAAAATTCCTCCACGAAACCCCAAAAAACCTGCCAGAAATCCCCAAAAAAACTCCAAAAATTCGTCCAAGAAACCCCAGAAAACCTGCCAGAAATCCCAAAAAAAATACTCTGAAAACCCCCCAAAAAACCCCCAAAAATTCCTCCATGAAACCCCAAAAACCTGCCACAAATCCCCAAAAACCCCAAAAAAACCCAAAAAATTTGTCCAAGAAACCCCAAAAAACCTGCCAGAAATCCCCCCAAAAAATCCTCCAGAAAACCCCCAAAAAACTCCAAAAAAACCCAAAACACCCCAAAAAATTCCTTCATGAAACCCCAGAAAACCTGCCAGAAATCCCAAAAAAATCCTCAAAAAAACCCCCCAAAAAACCCCAAAAAACCCCAAAAGAATTCTCCAAGAAACTCCAGAAAATCTGCCAGAAATCCCAAAAAAAACCCCAAAAGAACCCCAAAAATTCCTTCATGAGACCCCAAAAAATCCCAAAAAAATCCCTCCATGAAACCCCAGAAAACCTGCCACAAATCCCCAAAAAAATCCTCCAAAATCCAAAATAAAAATCCCCCAAAATTAAAAAAATCCTCAAAAAAATTCCCCAAAATTTAAAAATCCTCAAAAAATCCCCCCAAAAAATCTCAAAAAAATTCCCAAAAAATCTCAAAAAATCCCACAAATTTTTAAAAAAATCCCCCAAAATCTCCAAAACATTCCCAAAAAATCCCAAGAATCCCCCCCCCAAAAATCCCAAAAATATCTTTAAAAAATCCTCAAAAAAATCCCCAAAAAAATCTCCAAAAATCCTCAAAAAATTCCCAAAAAATCCCCAAAAATTTCAAAAAAATTCCCAAAAAAATCCCCAAAAATTCCCAAAAAAATTCCCAAAAAATTCCCGGTATTCCCAACATTCCTGACCTCGTACTCCACCATCCTCTTGCTGGCCAGGTCGGCCTTGTTGCCGGCCAGGGCGATGACGATGCTGGGGCTGGCCTGGCGCTGCAGCTCCTTCACCCAGCCCCGTGCGCGGGCAAACGTCTCCTGGGGAGGGGGTGCAGCCTCAGACCCCTCCCCAAATACTCTGGAGACCCCTCCTCAAATCCCCTCCCAACCCCCTGAGCCCCTAAATCTGTCAAATTCACCTCAAAATGACTCGGGAGTCCTCTGAGATCCCCCAAATCCTCCTCAAATTCACCTCAAACCCCTCTGAGATCCCCAAATCCTCCTCAAATTCACCTCAAACCCCTCTGAGACCCCCAAATCCTCCTCAAATTCACCTCAAACCCCTCTGAGATCCCCAAATCCTCTTCAAATCCCCCCAGACCCCTCTGAGACCCCTCAAATCCTCCTCAAATTCACCTCAAACCCCTCTGAGACCCCCAAATCATCCTCAAATTCACCTCAAACCCCTCTGAGACCCCCAAATCCTCCTCAAATTCACCTCAAACCCCTCTGAGATCGCCCAAATCGTCTTCAAATCCCCCCAGACCCCTCTGAGATCCCCAAATCCTCCTCAAATTCACCTCAAACCCCTCTGAGACCCCCAAATCCTCCTCAAATTCACCTCAAACCCCTCTGAGACCCCCAAATCCTCCTCAAATTCACCTCAAACCCCTCTGAGACCCCCCAAATCCTCCTCAAATTCACCTCAAACCCCTCTGAGACCCCTCAAATCCCCCCAAGCCCCCCATACCTGGTTGGTGATGTCGTAGACCACGATGGCCGCCCCTCAAACCCCCTCAGAGCCCCCAAATCCCCCCCAAAACTTCTCAGAGACCCCCAAATGCCCCCAAAATCTGCTTCAAAACCCCTCAGAGATCCCCAAATCCCCTCCAACCCCCCCCAAATCCCCCCTAAATCCCCCCATACCTGGTTGGTGATGTCGTAGACCACGATGGCAGCCTGGGCCCCCCGGTAGTACATGGGGGCCAGGCTGTGGTACCGCTCCTGCCCCGCCGTGTCCCAGATCTCAAACTTCACCGTGGTGTCGTCCAGACACACGGACTGAGTCAGGAACGCGGCTGGGGGGGACAGGGACAGCCCAGAGTGTCACCAAAGCCAGCCAGGGACAGCCCAGAGTGTCACCAGGGTGTCACCAACCCAGCCAGGGATCCCTCAGTGCATCCCAAACCTGCCCAGGGATCCCTCAGTGCATCCCAAACCCTCCCAGGGATCCCTCAGTGCATCCCAAACCTGCCCAGGGTGTCCCAAAACCTTCCAAAAAAGCCCTCCCTGCACCCCAGATCCCACCCTGGAATCTCCCCAGATCCCACCCTGGAATCTCCCCAGATCCCACCCTGGAATCACCCCAGATCCCACCCTGGAATCTCCCCAGATCCCACCCTGGAATCACCCCAGATCCCACCCTGGAATCACCCCAGATCCCACCCTGGAATCACCCCAAATCCCACCCTGGATAGCCCCAAATCCCACCCTGGAATCACCCCAGATCCCACACTGGAATCACCCCAAATCCCACCGTGGAATCACCCCAGATCCCACCCTGGAATCACCCCAGATCCCACCCTGGAATCACCCCAGATCCCACCATGGATAGCCCCAAATCCCACCCTGGAATCACCCCAGATCCCACACTGGAATCACCCCAAATCCCACCGTGGAATCACCCCAGATCCCACCCTGGAATCACCCCAGATCCCACCCTGGAATCACCCCAGATCCCACCATGGACAGCCCCAAATCCCACCCTGGAATCACCCCAAATCCCACCGTGGAATCACCCCAGATCCCACCGTGGAATCACCCCAGATCCCACCCAGGACAGCCCCAGATCCCTTTGGGATCCCCATGGGATCCCCAGATCCCGGCTCACCGCCGATGGTGCTCTCCTGGTACTCGTGGAACTGGCCCTTGACGAAGCGCAGCACCAGGCTGGATTTGCCCACGGCCGACTCTCCCAGTAGCACCAGTTTGAACTGGCAGATCTTACTGGGCTGCGAGTGCCCGTTGGGGCGCTGGGCGCCGCGCCCGGCCATGGCCCCGCAGCTGGGACGGGCTGGGATCCTGCGGGAACACGGCAGCGCCTGGGATCAACGCGCCCCGGGATCGGGACACTGGGATCAACCCTCCTGGCATGGAATCAGCTCACTGGGATCAGCTCACTGGGATCAACCCTCCTGGGATGGGATCAGCTCACTGGGATCGGGACACTGGGATCAACCCTCCTGGCATGGGATCAGTTCACTGGGATCGGGACACTGGGATCAACCCTCCTGGAATGGGATCAGCTCACTGGGATCAGGACACTGGGATCAACCCTCCTGGAATGGGATTGGGACACTGGGATCGGGACACTGGGATCAACCCTCCTGGCATGGGATCAGCTCACTGGGATCAGCTCACTGGGATCAACCCTCCTGGAATGGGATTGGGACACTGGGATCGGCTCACTGGGGTGGCATCGGGACACTGGGATCAACCCATTGGGATCATCCCCCGGGATGGGATCACCCCACTGGGATGGGATCTGCAATGGGATCACCCCACTGCGATGGAATCACCCCACTGGGATGGGATCTGGAATGGAATCACCCCACTGGGATGGGATCTGGAATGGAATCACCCCAGTGGGATGGGATCAGCTCACTGGGATGGGATCACATCACTGGGATGGGATCACCCCACTGGGATGGGATCACTCCATTGGAATGGGATTGGCTCACTGGGATGGGATCAACCCCATTGGAACAGGATCTGGGATGGGATCACCCCACTGGGATGGGATCACATCACTGGGATGGGATCTGCGATGGAATCAACCCCATTGGAATGGGATCACATCACTGGGATGAGATCTGGGATGGGATCACCCCACTGGGATGGGATCACATCACTGGGATGGGATCACCCCACTGGGATGGGATCTGGGATGGGATCACCCCACTGGGACGAGGCAGGCTGGCCTGGGGGATCCCAAATCCTGAGGGAGATCCCAAACTCTGGGCGAGCCTCAATTCCGGGGGATCCCAAATTCCGGGGAATCCGAACTTTGGGGGATCCCAAATCCTGAGGGAATCCCAAGCGCAGGGATCAGAACCCTCCATAATGAGGGGCAAAACCACCCCCAAAATGGGAAAGAAAAGGGGAAAGCAACCCAAAAAGCGAGGAGAACATTCCTAAAATAGAAACTAAAGTGGAAAACACCCCTAAAACACGGGGAAAACCCCAATAATGGGGAGCGGGGCAGGAAAAACACCCCCAAACCAGCGAGAAAAACATTCCAAAAATAGAAACGAGGGGGCGAAACACCCCAAAAACGGGGAGGGGACCGAAAAAATCCCCCGCAAATGGGGGATCCCCCTCATAATGAAGCAGCGCCGCTCCCCTCAGCCCCAAACCGGCCGAACCCGACCCCTCCGGGGGATCCCGGCCCGGAGCCCCCCGGGATGAGGCGACCGCGGCCCCCTCAGGCCTCGAACCCCCTCCTCAAGCCCCCACCCGGGGGGGTCCCGCCCTCAGCGCCCTCAGCGCGTCGGGCCCGGCTCGGCGCGGTCCCTCCCGGTTCCTCTCGGTGCCCGGCTGCCCTCGGTGCCACCCCCGGAATGTTCCCGGTGCCACCGGGCTCGCCCCCTCCCCCCTCCCCCGGTACCTCCGGGCCCTCCCGGCGCGGCCCCGAGCGCACAAACAGCGGCTCCGCCAAGCCCTCACGGAGGGGGCGGGACTAAGAGAAGCATCGACCAATCAGCGCAGAGCCCGCCTTCGTGCTCCGCCAATGGGAAGCAAAGAGGGAACCGCCCCGCGGAGCTCCACCAATGGGTGGTAGGGGAAGTGTGATGGACAGCACAGAGGCCAATAGAAGGGCAAAAATAGCGTGGCCAATGCGGAGGAGGGAAGGAGGTGAAGAGGCGGGGTTTGAGGTGAGTGACGCGGCGCGCTGCCAATGGAAAGCGGAGAAACGCGGGAGGGACCAACAACAAATAAGGTGACCGGAGGGGCGGAGCCCCGCGGCCGCATCAGCCAATGATAAAGCGGGAAAAACTGAAGTTTCGCCCAATCAGAGGAGGCGCTGGCTGTGATTGACAACGGGGGCCGCCGGGAGCTGTCGCGCAGGGGGGCGGGATCAGAACGGACCAATCAGAGCGCTCCAACAGCGCGGTGGGCGTGGCCGTAAAGGGGGCGTGGTTTGCGCGAAAAGGGGCGTGGCTTGGGGAGTTCTTGGGGACACTTGGGGGGGGTTGGGGACATTTGGGGACATTTTGGGGGTCCTGGGGACATTTTGGGGGGATTTGGGGACATTTTGGAGGGATTTGGGAACATTTTGGAGGGATTTGGGAACATTTTGGGGGGATTTGGGGACATTTTGGAGGGATTTGGGAACATTTTGGGGGGATTTGGGAACATTTTGGGGGGATTTGGGGACATTTTGGAGGGATTTGGGAACATTTTGGGGG